GATCAGGCTGGCCTTGAACTCACAGAAATCTGCCTGTCTCTGCCTCCCAAGAGCTGGGATTAAAGGCATGCACCACCACACCCGGCGTGAGCACAATTTATAAAAAAAATATTTTATTTATTATTTTTATTTTATGTGTATGAGTGTATTGCCTGCATGTATGTGAGTGCACCTTCATCGTGCATTGCCAGTGGAGGTCAGATGAGGGCTTCAGATTCCCCTGGAACTGGAGTTGAGGATGGTTTGTAGCCACCATATGGATGGTGGGAATTGAACTCAGGTCCTCTGTAAGAGCAGGCAGTGTTCTTAACCGCTGAGCCATCTCTCCAGCCCCCAGGAGCATATTTTTTAAATATTAGGCAGGGGGGAAGCGGGAGCCCAGGGCTTATTAGAACAGCTTCTGTTAAAACTACCCCCTTCCATCTGTCAGCCAGGATCTGTTTACCCTTTAAGTTCATCAAAGGGAAAGCCTGCTGTGCTGAAGCAACTCCTTGGGTCTCTGGTCAAAAGGTGGAGTCTGTTTATCCTTCAAGATCATCAAAGGGAAAGCCTACTACCTTTGGCCAAAAGGTGCAGAAAAGTCTGCTTCTTCCTACATTCTCAGGGGCTTGCACACCAGTGAGGCCCTGCTGCATTGGGGAGGGAGTTGCTGTAGGTCTGAACCCTAACAGTAACTAGCTAGACTCAAAATATCTTTTTTTACAATGGCCTGTATACATTTGTTCAGGGGTGCCCTTTTTTGGCTACCCATTTGTAAAGCAAAAGTTTTTGTTGTTTTTGGATGTTTTTCCTTTTAGAGCATCCTTTGTAGATTATTTATTTATTTATTTATTTATTTATTTATTTATTGTCTTTTTGAGACAAGGTCTCCCTGTAGCTCCAGCTGTCCTGGAACTCACTATGTAGACCAGGCTGGCCTTGAACTCACAGAGATCCATCTGCCTCTGCCTCCCAAGTGCTGGGATTAAAGGTGTGTGCCACCACGCCTGGCTATTTATTTTATTTTTAAAAATAATTTATTGAGAATTTTATACATGCATATAAGGTGTTTTGATCAAATCCACGCCCACTCCCTCCCCTCCAACTCCTCCCATATCTCCCCATCACTTTTTTCTGATAACTTTGTGTACTCTTTCTTCTTTTTTAAAAAATTTTTAAAAAATTTTAATGGGGTTTTTCTACTCTAACGTTACCCCCCCTCCCGAAGAGATAACTCTAAAATATTTTAAGGATTAAGTACTCCCAAATACTTTTGACATTTTTGGCCTTAGGAATGGAATATGTTTCTAAAAGGCCCAAACACATTTTGACTTTTAGCCAAGAAACTGGCTACTTTTCTTTAGGGTCTTTTTTACCCTAACTGCCTAGCCAATTCCTACCTTCTATTCTTATTACATCATCCTCTGAAAAGGTTACCCAACTTGCGGATAGGGAATAGGGAAGCAGACTGCTCTGGCTTCTTCCATGCTGAACAGGGACACAGGGTGAGGCAATTGGGGTACCCCTTCAGTGAATCTATCTAGAAGACTCCCAAATTGCATAACTTACCTGTAGGGAGAAAAGAAACTCCTTGACTGGTGCCTAGGAGATGTGAAGGAGAAGTAAAGACAAGAGTAGTTACAATGACAAGTTCTAGACAGAGAACTAGAAAAAAGTCAGAACAGGGCAAATTTTAAATGTTCATATCAGATTCTTCCTCATTTTTCTTTTGTCTGCCAAGGCTGGACTTGAGAGTGATGGATTCAGGATTTGCTTTCAGGCACTTTGATAACCCCACGTGGAGGCAGGATCTGGGAGCTCTCAGGCAGTCCCCTGAGTTCTCTCTCAGCCCCTATGCCAGAGGGAGGCTGGAACAGGCACCCTCTGGTGGTCTGCTAAGATCTCCTATTTATTTATTTTTAATATTTCTTTTGATCTCCTTTTAAAATTGATCTGACCCAGTGCCCCCAGACATGTTAAGATCTAGGCTCTGGCATTTTAGACTAACAAACCTGCAACTTATATTAAATAAGAGACAAGCCTGATAGCTCTCAGAGTAAATTTTCCTTTTAAAGAGGGTTACCAGTCTATCTAGATTAGAAA